ACAACCCCTGGATGCCTTCCACGTGCTGGACCGGGTTTCTAGACCCTCAGCCATCTCGGAGACGGAGGACGGGAGACAGGGGGCGCTCTTGGCCAACCGGGCAGTGTGGGCGATGCCACCAGCTTGGGCCACATGTTGGAAGTGGTGTAAGGGTTTAACTATTGTACGGCATTCTGGCCTTCGTTGGTACACATGAGTGGAAGATGGACAAGAGGAAGCTACTGCTCGAGGGACACACCTAATCCTACCAGGCCAAAGGTGAGCCTCGGGCTCCTGCCTGGGCTGGTGGCTCTTGGGTCTTAAAGGGACAGTGCACGCAGAGCCCTGGGCCAGGCACGGGAAAGCACCGCATTCACGGCAGGAGTTATTATTATTGTTTATTTTTAGTAAGTTATTGGTAATAATGTGATGCTTACTGGATGACCATTGGACAGTGTGCTCAGTTGGGAAGAAGAATAACAAAAGTCAGGCGCCTGTGTGAAATGCTGGAAAAGTATTCGAAAGAGGACGTGTAACTGGGCATTTATAATTTCTTTCTCAGCTGAGAATGGATCCCCCGCGACATGCGGTCTATTGTTCCGTTTCTGCCTGTGAGACGCTCACTGGGGTTCTGAGTAACTCATCATGTCGAGAAGTAGGGCGCTACCTAAATATAAAAGGCCCGCTGAAGAGCTTCCCGGGGCAGGAAGAGAAGAGGGGGCTGCCTGGGCCTCCCTGCCGCCTCTGCCTAGGCCACCGCCACGCAAAGTGGTGTCGGAGGAGCAGGATTCCGTGGAGGGCACCGGCCTGGCTGGTCAGGGACGCTGACAGTGCTGTCCCTGCTGAACCGCCCGGCCTGCCGGGTTCACACCTGCCCACGAAGACTCCCCTGTCACCATGTGGCTATTATTCAACGAATGCAAGTTGACCTGGGGAGGGAGGAGAAAAGTGACAGAAGGTGAAACGACACCCTGCTTTATTGTTCAAGCGAGAAGAGCAAGCCGGCTTCACGTGGTTACGTTGCCGTCTCATCCAGAAGTTTCTGAGGTCTGGTGCTAGTCAGGGAGTCTCAGGTATTGATTAGCTCAGTGATTCTTAAACTTTGGCAATTGATGGGCTTGTTAAAACAAAGTGCTGGCCCTGGCTGATTTGGCTCAGCGGTTGGAGCGTCGGCCTGCGGACCAGAGAGTCCCGGGTTCGGTTCCCACTAGGGACACATACCAAAAAAAAAAAAAAAAGAAGTGCTGGCTCCCACCTCCCAGAGTGTCTGACTCAGAGGGTCTGCGTTTCTAAGCAGCTTCCAGGTGAGGCTGCTGGCCCGAAGACTGCGCACTGAGAACCACTGGGTTAGCAAGGTTGGTAGAGGGCTGCAGAAGGATGTGAGGACCTTGTTAAGAATACCAATGTCTAGGCCCTTTGTAACAGTCATGATGTGTTTGGCTGTAGTTAAAAGAATACCAGCCCTGTCCAGTTTAGCTCAGCAGTTAGAACATTGGCCCACGGCCTGAAGGGTCTCGGGTTTGATTCCCAGTCAAGGGCAGGTACCTGGGTTGTGAATTTGATTCCCGGCCCTGGCTGGGGTCCTGCAGGAGGAAGATCAATCGATGTGTCTCTCTCACGTCAATATTTCTCTCCCTCCCTGCCTCCCTCTCTATCTAAAATCAATGGAAAAGTATCCTCGGATGAGGATTAACAACAACAACAAAGAAACCCAGATGAAAGTTGTATAAGCATTTAAATCACATCAATTCGACTGGAGATAGATGGTTTGAGATTGGGTGTAGTGACTCCGTGATGCTATGCAAAATGGAAGCTCTTTTATCTCATCATTCACTCTTAGCCCAGTTGAAGTTTTATCCTTAGCTTTGTTGCCTCATGATTGCAGAATGGCTGCCACAGTTCCAACTATAATGTTCTTGCACAACTACATCCAAGACATAAAAAGAGAGATTTCTCTCTCTCTCTCTCACCCTTGCTCCTCTCTCTCCCTCTGTCTCATTCTTTTATATCATATCTGATACCTTTCCAAAACTCTTCCCTTTTGCCACTCATTGGTGTGAAGTGGGTTACAGCCTCCCCCCTTAAGTAAAACAAGAGCAACAGGGAATGGAATTACTGGCTGCATCCAGGTTCACCACCTGGGGCTGGGTGAGGGCTCACCTTCCCGGAACATGTTGCTGCCTGATTCTATGACCCAAGGAAGGAAGGAATATTATTGGGCAGAGACTGACAGTGCCTGCCCCAGCAAGGTTCACTTGTCCTGGATTTCAGAGACCGTCTTCACTTTAAAACTGAACGTCTCACATCCCAGGAACCCCCTTGGTTCAGGGCAAATCAAGAGGGTTGGTCACCCTAACTCAAGTCTCCCAAGACCTTCTGAATTTGAATCTCTGAAGGGTGGAATCCAAACCTTAAAAATGATTTTTAATGCTCTCCTAAGATGATGACAATGTACGCCAAAGTCTGAGAATCACTGGGCTTCAGTTTCCATGAAGCCAGAACAGGGGACTCACGGCTGACATCTTCCCAGCTGACCTCGGAGCAGGAGGACATCCCAGATGAAGGGGTGTGGAGGGGCAGGGGGTGGCTCCAGAACAGACGCTGAGAGGGGCCTGGGATCTTCCAGTTCCATCCCCAGCCTGCTCCTCATCCCCACCACGAGAAGGGACCGTCTAACCTGCAGTCCCCTGCTCTGGGAGGTCTTGGGCCCTGCAGCCACCTCCGTCAGGCCCCTAGCGCAGGGCCTGTGCTGTTGGACTTGCTGTCACCACGTAGATCCCAAGTTCTCTTAGGACAGAGACTCCACCTCAGGTATCTTCTATCCTGAGCATCAAGCACCATGCTGGCTCATTTAATTTTAGTTTAGTTTTTATCCTCACCTGAGGACATTTTTGCATTTATCTTCCCTCTCAGAGGGAGGAAGAGAGAGAGAGAAACATTGATGCAAGAGAGACACATTGACTGGCTGCCACCCGCACAACCCCAACCAGGGCTGGGGACGGACTGCAACCAAGGTACGTGCCCCTAGCGGGAACCGAACCCGGGACTCTGGTCTGTGGGCCGACGCTCTAACCACTGAGCCAAACCGGCATGCTGACACTTTTAATCATTCGGTAAATGTGTGTTGGAGACATGAATGAACGAACGAACGAATGAATGAATGAATAGGGAGGCTATGTTCTTGAATAAAAAATGAACTCCGGCCACTAGACCCCAAACCAGCCCTGAAACAGCCAAGTGCCCTGGGCCTGGAAACCACCCCACCTCTTCAGTGAGGGCAGGACCCAGGTGGGGTGGGAGAGCGGTCGGCTCTTCCCTGGCCCTAGATGGCCGCACCCCTCCCTGGCCCAGCCTCCCGGGCTTCCATGGGAGGTTGTGTGTGTCCCCACGGCAGGGCACCGGTAACTTTCCAATGGTTTGAGCTCATTACTCATCGTGAGGAGTCCTGGTGTCTGGAGTTTTCCAGGTGATCAAAGCTTCTCTGTCTGGAGCTGCCAGGCAGGCCCTGGTGTCTGTCACCAGTAATCCCCCGGCCTTGCCAGGCAGACAGTTAAGTAACCCAGGAAGGAGGGGATTTGGTTTTTAAGCTCACATAATTCAGCTTGACACCCCGTCACGTAGGCAGTGGCTCTGGCCCTGTTCCTGGTTAGAGGGGTGTGGGCCGAGGGCGCAGCAGCTTGTCTTGTTCCGGGTGATTTTCGAGCTGGTGGGTGCTCTCCCCGCCCTGCTCCCCTCAGCGGGGGCTCAGGGTAGGAAGGAGACTCAGCTCCCACACAGCAAGGGCCGCCCATCACCCTCCTGTGGCTCTGTCTACTCTCCCCAGACACTCACCTCCAGAAACTGCCCCTGCCCCCCGCTCCCCCAGAACGGGAGCTCCCAACGGGGCTCTTACTGGTCCCCGGTGTCTGGTTGGGCTCAGGGTTCAACTTGCCTCCCCAAACCCCTCCACATTTCCCAAAGTCTGTGTCATTGCCCAGAAAATGTGTCACAGGCCTGAGTTCTGATGTTTCAGTAAAAATCACTATTCCTTTAATGATAGTGGGGAAAAGGATGCTTAAAACAATTGCCTTGTCTGATTTAAAGAAAAAGGTGGGATTATAGATTTTGAGCTATAATTTTTCTGACTTGACCTCTGTGCGGAAAAGCTCGCCCAGCCCTGCCTGAACAGCGGGACCACACCTCCTGTTCACATAGAAGGCAGTCACAGGAGAAGCAAGTAACCTTGGGGAGCTCATTAGTCCTGGCAATGCGGTGGCTTCGCTAAAGAGTTGATATAAATGTCCAGGTACTGGCTTCATGATGGGTCATTTAAGAAAATTAGTGTTGAGAGTGAAATAGAATATTCCAACTGGGGTGATGCCAAGCCCTTCCTGGCTTGCTCCTGGGGTCACCGTGTTGGCCTGTGGACCTGGTGAGCCTCTCTTTCGTGCAGATGTTCTGCCCTAGCTGAGTTCCATGCCTGGCGGAGTGGGCGGATGGTGCAGGGCAGGCATCACCTCGCCCGCCTGTTTGGAGGCCCCTCCTGGCGCGGGCCTGGGCCTCCGGGGCTGGAGAGGGGCCAGCCCACGGTGGGGCTGCCTGTACTGCTTGTGTCCAAAAACTGCGCCGGTGTCTTCAGATCCACTCCCACCAGAATGTTTTACATATTTTAATTAAAGTGCCGCCCTGGGCTGGCAGGGCCTCTGATAGATGGCTCTCAGCCGAGTGGCGGGGTTGCAGTGGTGTGAAACATGGCATCCGACCATGAGCGCCTGCTGTCTGCTGTCCGGAACGCCTTGGCTCCCACCCTGGAGGCGGGTCCACTCGGGCTCCCGGAGGGGAGGCCAAGCGCGGGCGGTGGGCGGGCGGCAGGCACATGGAGGGGTGGCCAAGGCGGGGCTCAGAGGTGGGAGAAGAGCTCAGGTAGGAAAGTGCCATGGACGATTTCCACAAACCAGCTGGCTGGTGGGCTGTGGAGGAGTCCTAGTCTTGCAGACACACAGCTCCGTGGACACTCCTTATCAGTGTCAAATTATGATAAATGGCGACGGGTAGAAGTTGCTGGGTGGCAGCTGCCGCATCGCAGAGGGAAGCAGGTATTTTTAGCTCTGTGCCTTGGGGCCCTGGCTCTGGGTTAATTAATCATGGTGAACAGCACCGAGTTTGGTTCTTGATCCTGGTCCCCACCCCCACCCCAGCCTGTCCCCATTCCCCAGACTGGAATACCAGCTGCAGGGCGGAAGTCACGCACAGCTAGAGTAGCCCTTGGCAGGGCACTGGGGGTACACCGGGGATGCCATCCCAAGTCCCCCATGACTTGGGCCCTGCACCTCCCCCTCCTCTCCTCCTGGGGCTGTTCCTGCCTCAAGGCCTCTCCACTTGCCGTTCCCTTTTGAACAGTACCCTCGGGTATCGTCATCTTTCCTGTCTCACCCCAAATGCCCTCACTGGTCAAGGGCCTTCCCTGAGCGCCCACCCCAGGCTCTCCATCACCTTGTCCTGTCCATTCCTTCAGAGCACTGAGACCTGCCCAAACCACCTTCTTGCCGAGGGCTTTGCGTTACTGTCTGTCTCCTGCTGAAATGCCAGCGGCTCGAGAACAGGGCTCCCCTCTATCTTGTTGCTCTCTTAAAACCCTGGGGCCTAGCTCCGTGCTCAGGGCAGGTCCTCAGCGAGTGTCCTTGAGTGCGAGACTGGATGGATGGGTGAGCGGAAGGCTGGAGGGAGGCTCTCTGTGTGTTTGGATTTTAAGATGCAGGGTGTCAAGATTGCTCTCGTTGGTAGGGGCACTAGGGGGGAGACAGGCTGTGGAGCATCCTCCTCCAGGCCAGCAGCCGCCAGGGGAGGCCCAGGCCCAGGGGGTTCTGGGAAGACAGCGTGCTGGGTAGGGCCAACCACTACCTTTTCTGCTTTGGAAATAGCCAACCACACGCTCTTTGGTGTTGCTGGGAGATTGCTTTGAATTTTTAGTTTTTGGTTTTTTTCCCTCATAATATTTTTCTTGGCGATGGGGGAAGGGGTGAGATAGACGGGTTTTAAGGGACTCCTCGAAGACTGTGCTTGAAAGCGGGTGCACTTCTGGAGAGTGAGACGGCGCTTCCACTGTTTCCTCTTCCAATACAGTGGGTTGCCTGTCCTCCCCTTTCTTGCTTGGGAACAGAACCCCAAGTTGGTCCTTGCACTGGGAGGCCCAGCCCAGCCCAGCCCGGTGGTTAGTCGGAGCCAACGATGGAAGCTCCCCCAGCCAGGACTTGGGTTAGAAATGGGACCCTGACTGTGATTCCAGATGGGACATGAGGAGCTTTGAAGGGCTCCCCTCCCTTTTAAATAGGTACAAGGGGTGCATATCCATCGCGTCCCTTTTCTTGATCCTAAAAAGGATCAAGGTTTATTTCACATGCAGAGGAAGAGGCGAGGGCAAGGGGCACGTGATAGGGGCTGGGAACAGTGCTGATCCACGGGGGCAGGAGTGTCCCGCCCCAGGACCTCCTACGACACGCCCACCCGAGACCCTGCCCACTCAGGTGGAATCTGATTCTCAGGGTGCGGGCTGGATCTTTGTGCGGTTGATATCCCCCTCTTGTTCCCCCATTATTCTGAGACACAGAAGCCTGTGAACTGTGGAAATAGACCAGGGACAGAGAAGCCCTCCTGACAGGGCCCAGAGGTGCCTTGCCAGGAGCCTTCAGAATTCCTCTCTCTTGACACCTTGCAGAAGACAAATGATTTGCTGTCTTTCCTAGGACACAAGGAAGGACATTTGTGAGGAGGTGCAGGCCCGGACGGCGCAGGTTCTAGGAGGTGGGTATTCAGAGCGTGTGCCCGGCAGCGGGTTGCCCCTGCTGAGGTTGCCTGGGAGGTTCGGGGCCGCCCAGCCAGGGGTCCTCCGCTGATGGGGTGCTGTTTGCTCTCAGCCTCTGCTGGGGCTCAGGGGCAAACATGGCCCTCCCCGGCCAGTTCTGAGGAGAAATGAACCGAAACCTCATGAAAAAGCACCAGGGCAACTGAGGAATTGCTATTTCTTTTTAAATTTTGCTACTTTCCTTCCATAGCTCTGGTTATGGCTTCTAGTGGGAGAGAGAGACAAAGAGGCTGAGAACCGATGTCAGACGGTGGGGGGGGGGGGGTCAAAGAATGACAGGAACCACAGGACAGACACGTTTTTTTTTTGTTGCTTTAGAAAATATTTATTGGGAACCTACTATGGGCTGGACCTGCACATCCACCCTAATGAATACACCACAAGACTGCAGGCTGTTGACATCATCTCCCCGGTTTCCATCGGACCCGAGGTCTGGGAATAAAGAGGGTGTTGTTTCCGCTCAGACCAGTAGGTGTCATTCTGTCAGAAGGAAAGGCAGGGGAGCCCCGGGATTTGAGAGCCACCTAGGAGTATAACGTCTATTTCATTAGTTTTGAAAGTGCCATAATGGGCAGGGCACCAGGCGGGACCCTGGAGGGTACATAGGACAAGAGATGCACAGTCCCTGTCCTCATGGAATCTACAGGGGGGGCCTGGAGGGATGGGTCCGAGGTCACAAAAAAAGGGGAGAAGGTGTTAAGCGCCTCGGGAGAGGTTTGAAGGAAGGACTGTGTGGAACTTAGAACATCAGAGACCACACCTTCCCAGTTGCCCCCCTCCTCCCATTACAGCAGAGAAGAGGCTCCGAGCAGAGAAGAGAGATGACTGGCCTGTGGCCACACAATTCCTGACCCCAGATCTCCTGGCTCCTAGAACAGTGCTCTTGCCAGCGAACACTCTGTTTCAATATTCGGAGTTGCTATCTCATCTTGAGATTCAGAATACGCCTTAGTTTAGTCATGATCGTCCCTGCAAAGTGCCCTCTCTGATGCTCACGGCAGGCACTCTGATGCATCTCAGGGAAGGCAGCTGCCCTCAGCACGGGCCCCGTGGGTCCAGAACCTGTGGCACAGGTTCATGAGGACTGACTGTGTGCGTCTCTGCCCAGAGACACCCTGCTGGTAGCTTGAAATCAGCCATGGTGGGCTTATTTACACTAAGGAAATCTGCAACAGCTGTAAATCAGAGCTATGATTTCCCCCAGGGAGCTGCACATCACTGAATTAATGTCCCGGCTGCACAGATGAGGAAACTGAGGCTCAGGCAGGTAAGCTCATCTGCCACAGAGACACAGCTTGTCGGTGGTGGAGCTGAGACCCCGACCAGGTGGTTGGACGCTAGCATGCTCAGAGATGGTGGTGTCACTAGGACTCAGAGCCGCTTGGATGTGGAGGGGTCTAAGCTGATCCCAGGTTTCTCATGTGAATGCTGGCACGGGTGTGGTCCCGGGCTGATGTCATTAACCTGATGCAACTTTGGAACAGAAACCGGTTTGAATGAAATGATAACCGGTCCCGCTTTGGGTGGATTGCATTTGAAGCACAGTGTTGGAGGGATGTTTAGATCTGGAGGCCAGAAGAGAAATCTGGGCAAGAGATTGAGATTGGCAAGATAGAAGTTTGTTCTTGACTAAACCAAACGCAAGTTAGCCAGAAACATTTTCCTTTGTCAGGGTGACCGGACTGGAAGCATGAGAGTCGCCCTCAGTGTCTCCTCTCACCTTTGTCGGCCTCAGGCGTGACCCGGCAGGGCAGGGAGTGGGCAACCCATCCCTCCTGCTCACACATGTTCCCTGGGCCTGGTGGAGAGTGAGCCCTCAATGAGCACTTGTAGAACAAATGAATGTGACCCACGCATCCTGAGTCAGCACTGCTGTGGACCATACATCAAAACCTCAGAATATTTCTTGCAGCTTCTAAGACTCTCTAGAATTCTGACATCATTATAGGAGTATGGATTGGAATCAGAAATTACTTTCTTACAGCAGTTTAGAGCGAGACATCGATTAGGTATTCTCTCGTGTGATATGCTTGTTTCGGTGATGAGGTGCAGAAGCCCAGAGACCATTCCAAGACCCGCCAGGCCCCTTGCCAGTGTGGAAGACCCCCCAGCCTTGGCAGCCATTCTGGCCTGGCCTGCTTTGCCCTGGCTGGTTTACTTCCTGGCTCTGGGCCTTGGTTTGTCTCTCAGGTTAAGGGAGAGATTGAGCTCTGGTTCTGGAAGGGGGAGGAGTTGATCAGAATCCACCTCTTCTTGGGTAGAGGAGCAGACAAAGCTCGGGATAACCAACCAAGGGGACTACCGTATGCAAATGAATGGAATGCGGCTTTGCCTCCCGATTGGCTGAAGGGGCCCTGATGTCACAATATGTGGGTTTCTCCTGTCCAAATGATTGTGTCTAGTCTTTAGCTCCCCACCCCCCCAAATACCTCCCTGACCTGGCTGGTCTCTTAGCTCCCGCTCTTTGTCCAGACAGGAAGACGATGGACCCACCCTACCAGGCTGGGTCTATTCTCATGCAGGTGAATACCTTACAAGGGAAGAAGATGGTGGAGAGCGGCCTTCAGTCTGGGGACTTCTCCCTCCGCACGTGGCCCTCCTGCCTCCTGCCGCCAGCTGACTTGGAGATCCTGCAGCAGAAGGTGGTGGCGGTGCAGCGGGAGCTGGAGGACTTCAAGAACGAGGCCTTGAAGGCCATCCATTACCTGGAAGACGCCTTCTGTGAGATGAACGGGGCCCTGGCGCAGCAGGAGGAGCAGGCGGCCCGCGTGCGGCAGCGGCTGAGGGAGGAGGAGGACCGGGGCATCGTGCGGAATAAGGTCCTCACCTTCCTGCTGCCGCGGGAGAAGCAGCTCCGGGAGCACTGCAGGCGGCTGGAGGTCATACTGCTGGGCGGGAGCCGAGAGGCGCTGGGCCTCCCCAAGAAGATCCAGGCCAACTGAGTCCCCCCAAGGAGGAGCTGCGCTTCTAGCCGAGCAGCCAAGTAGACGATGTTTTAAATGGAAGGACACACCCTAAGCCCCATCCGTTTGCTCTCCCCGTGTTTCTATTGCTTTCCTTCTACCTAAATAACACCCCTTGCTGAGAGGCGAAAAGACCCCAGTATGTTCTTTCAGCGAAGCTCCACTATCCAGCATCGTCAGAGAAGGAGGTGCCCCAATATAAGTCTTTCAGACACTTGCAACGCTGACCTTTTAACTGTTTTCCTGTTTGCAATGGTAATATTGCTCAAATGTATAACATGTTGTTTTTTTTTTTAAAAAATCTTAAACTGATTGTGTTGAACAGATTTATGAATGACTTTGAATGACTCAAGGCTCTTATGATTTGTTACTTAATGCACAGAGGGAGGGATCAATCGTTCGCCCAGGTACTAAGTGGTCTCAGATGGCATTGCTTTTGCAGTTCGTACTCTCACCTAGCCGGCTTTTCTGTCTGCTTTCGCTGGGAGGCTGTCATATCTCACTTTTCTTTGCTGCCTTTGCCCATCTCAGCCTCCTCGCCAGGTAGCCTGCAGACTGGCCAGTGAGACCGGCACAGCTTGTTAGGGCTGCAACCGCTGGAGTCACATGAGCTCAGTGCACCTGTGAGGTGGGGCTGTAAAGAGCGAAACGGATTTTCACATCTGACCCGGGGAGCAGGAATTGTTACGGTGCCTGGCCATTTCTCAGGCAACGTACGCACACCATCCAAGTACTTCCACAGGCGCCTTTGGAAGCAAGTGCTGTTTTCCTGCTGGGAAAAGCTGACCTCGGGAAGGTCAGTCCTTTACCAGCGTGTCCATGTTAGCAAGTGGCAGGACCGCGTTTCGAGTCCAGGTCACTTGTGCTCACTTGCATCCTGCTGCCCCTTTGAAACCACCCCCCTCAAGCTGTTCATGGATCTGTTCTGGAGGACTGAGGTCGTCACATAGGTGACTGGGGGGTGGGGGGTGGGTCCTTAGCTGTCACTGTGCTTTTTATTTCCAATGAGCCTTTCTGTTTCATTGAGCCACATAGTCTCTCTTTGGCCCCTCCAAACACAGCCACGCAGCAGGGGATCTCACCTAAACCACAGACGTGAGGTGCCTGGAGGCCAGAGTCAGCACCCGGGTACAGCTTGGCCTCTTGTCCTTCAAGCTCAGGCCTTACAGCCCGAGCCATCCCCCCGATAGTCCAGCTCAGCCCCGTCCTCCCTATTTTCTTTTTTTTTTAAATTAATTAATTTATTTTTGTTAAATAATAATATTATTATTTCTCCTTTTTCCCCCACTGATTTCCCCCTGCCCCTCCCTCCCCACCCTGTCCCCAGCTTTGCTGTCCATGTCCATTGTTCATGCATACATGCATAGAAGTTCTGTGGTTTATCTCTCCCCCACCACCCCCTCTTCTGGGGATTGTCAGTCTGTACCCCACTTCCACGTCTCTGGGACTACCCCATTCCTCAGACTGCTATGTTCATTATATTCCACAAATAAGTGAGATCATATGATATTTGTCTTTCTCTGTTTGGCTTGTTTCACTTAGGATAATGCTTTCCAGGTCCCTCCACGTCGTCTCAGAGGATAAGCGATCTCCCTATTTTCTTTTATAGACTCTCCCCAAACGAGATTTGAACATCTGGAACCCCCAAGCTGAACTTCACAAAAGGACCCCGTGACCCATTGTTAATTGCAGTATCTGTCTATCAACTACCTCCCCTGAAGGGCTGCATCCCTATTCTAACTTTAGGCCATTTCTACTTTGGAAGGTTTAGCCGAAGTGATAATAAGAATATTCATTACTATTGCTGCTGCTTGTGCTGCTGCTAGATTAGAGTTTTCAAGAATATGATATGTTCTAGGCACCAGGTTGGCCTGTTGAAAGTAGGTACTATTATGACCTTCACTTTAGGATTCGAGAAAGCTAAAGCTCAGAGAGGCTAAGCAACTCACCCAAGGTCACACAGCTGATAAATGGTGGAGTTGAGATTTGAACCTAGAAATGTCTGACTTTAGAGGCTGTGATCTTCACGACGATGTAGTGCTTTTGGAAACCTGATGAATATCTGCTAAATATTTCTTGAGCAATAAAATATGAACATACTGAATTAGTGAGGTGAGCTCTGGGAGAAAGGATTGTTTTGTGTGTGTATGTGTGTGTGTGATTCCTATACCCTTAAACCTTGTAGAGGATGCCTGCGTATGTGTTTACAAACATATCTAAGAAGGAGAATTTTACTGGCCAATTATAAGAGGTTTACAAAATCAACCGTCCTGTGCAGAGAAAACTGGATCTAATGCTAACTCCCGTAGAAAAGAGTTCGTGTCTACTGTGGGTGCAGCATGGAATGACTGCTCGGAGATGACGGTGTTCACGGGAACTGAGAAGAGACCAAGAGGCACTGCCCTGTGCGTGGTCCCCCCAGGCCACACCTGGAGTGGTCTGTGCCTAGTTCTGGGCCAACCCTTTAGAGGGTTCTAGACAGCCTGGAGTGTGCCCAGAGGATGGCAGCAAGCCAGGGAGTCCTGAGGAGGGGGCATGATGGAAGGACCTGGGGACCTTGGAGGAGATGCTTGAGGGGAAACCTGACCATGACTTTCCAAACCCTGGAGGCCTGGTTGTGTCTGGGGTTTGAGGGGCTAATAAAGGTCGCCCTTCTTTTCTCTGCCCCCATTAGGAACCAGCTGAAAGACAGATACAAGAGCCAGGCGAATGACGACGAGATACCACCATTATTGCTGTAAGGGGTTTAGAATCTGCGAGCCATGTGGGCTGGCGAAGACCTCATCCCCACACCTGGTGCATGTCCAGGCACAGGGCTGGCCGGCTGCTGCTGTGAGCAGACGGTGTGGCCTCTGCTGAGCGACAGCCCGAGAGAGCCGTGCAGGAGCTTGAGCTTCCTTCAAATCCGCCCACCAGGCAGCCACTGCTTTCCTGGGACGGTGAGGGGAGGGGACCCACGGCGCTGCCTCAGTGGGGCCCTCCATCAGGAAAGAAGGGGCTAAATGAAGCCGTATAATTCTATAGGGCAGTGCTAGCAACACAGGGAGGATGCTAGTGGGGGCAGATTTCAGCCCTATGTGAGAAACGAAAATAATGGCGCTTCGTACGTGCCTGTGCAGGGAAGGGTCCACTCAGCAAGTGTGGGATGTTCAAACCTCGCACGTTTCAAAGAAAGGTCTGGCTCCGGACCAGCTCCTGGGAGATCGCCTCCAAGCTCTTGCAATGAGCTGCCTGATAAGAGTGTCATAGTTTACCTGGGGTGTTGGGCCAAGCCAGAGAGTTTATGCTAACAATGTGCTTGATGGTGGCGACCCTGGGCCAGGCTGTGTCATTCTGACCTCTGGAGGGGCTGGAGACTGAGAGACTAAGTCAGTCAGGGAGGTGCTCCATGCCCAGCTATGGAGACCACCAATACAAACCCTGGACACCAAGGCTCAGGTGGGCTTCCCTGGTTGACAGTACTTCCTACATTGTTGCCACACATTGTTGCTGGGAAAATTGATCATTGTCCCCACCATTCCACTGGGAGAGGACAACTAGCAGCCTGGTCTCCTGGACCCTGCCCGTGCTCCCCTTACCTTTTGCTGATCTTAATCTGCACCCTCAGTTGTAATAAACTAGCCATGCATATGACAGCTTTTCTTAGGCTGAGTAGTCCTAGTGAATCACCAAGTTTGCAGGTGGTCCTGGGGACCTGAGATGCAGTGTGAGATGCACTTGACCTTTCACCCGTACTATCCTCACAATGACCTGTGAGCCAGGCACTATCATCCCCATAACAGGTGAAGAACCGGAGGGAGGCATAGAAAGGTTAACTTGCCTAGGAGTGCACGGCAAGTCTCCGGAGCTCCCTCTCTTGACCACCACCCACACCAAAGGAAGGGACTTGGCGTGATGGGCTGGCCCCCTTTGCTGCACCCATGGGGGTGACCCCATGGCCCTCCAGTTCCAAGGAGGTGAGTCATCTTACAGTGATGATGAGGAAGTACTGGAAGAAGAGACAGGAACTTGTGAATTTCCTGTCTTGGAGAGCACAGGTGCACATCTGTCCAGGTTGGGTTAGACAGGTGTCCTACCTGAAGACAGGGTGACAATCTAAGCATCTCCTTGTGGTTTTCTCTGCTGCAGGGCTTCAAGCTTTCTTCTTCTCCCCTATTAAGGACTTTTAGCTGTGTGCCACAGCACACTCATTATGCTGACTTCTTTGGGGGGTGTACTTTTTCACATAACGAGACGTCTGAAGTAGAGGGTTGGTGCAGTAGCTCAACAATGACGCGGCTCTGAGTTTGTATCTGTCTGATCCTCTTTCCTTCCTCCCTCACCACATCCCCCCAGTGGTCACATGATGGTGGCTCACAAAATTGTGTCCTCCCGCGATAACTTCCAAAGCAGAAAAGGAGTGGCAGACCTGGACCTGTTCCCACAATCTCCCCAGCAGATTTTCTTTGACATCTCCTTGGCCAGACCTGGCTTGCTTGCCCGCCCTAAACCGATCATGAGCAAAGAGGAAAGCAATTGCACAACTCAGTCCCTGGGGCTGGGCACCTCAGTTACCCAAGATCTGAACAAAATCAAGCTTCCATTAGTGAGGTTGGCTGTTGGGAGGTAACCAGCTCCAGCTACTACAACCTCAGTCTTAGCTTTTCTACTTACAGTGATACCTCGGTTCTTGAACGCCTCGGTATTCGACCAGGAGATTTGAGAAACTTTTGTCTCGGAATCCGAACAAATATTTGGAACTCGAACTTCCGAGATGAGCCGAGTTGAGCCGAATGGCGTTCATTCGGCCCAGCGCGCCTTGCTTGCGTCATCAGTGTGAGTGCAGAGAGAGAGTCACGCTTTGTGGAGTCACGCTTTCCTATTGGGTTTCATTGCTTCGGTTCTCGAACAATTCGGTTCTCGACCGTCCTCCTGGAACGAATTATGTTCGAGAACCGAGGTATCACTGTAATCGATACCAAGGACCAGGTGGAAGGAGC